TTTGGGAGAGAGTAATCAAATATTTTGGGGGGTGTTCCTGGCAATCTGTTGATGAGAGAAAGAACACTTTTCACATTTTTTTCTTTTGTTTATGTCTTATTTCAAAATGTTTGATTTCCTCAAAAAATTCATTTTTATTATGTATGTATGTATGTATAGTTTTCTCTGTGTTTTTTTCTTTGTATGTATGCATTTTTGAGACAGGGTCTTACCATGTTGTTCAAGCTGGGCTCAAGTGATTCTCCTGCCTCCACCTCTGAGCAGCTTGGGATTATAGGTTCATGCTGCTGAATCTTTTAATTTTTTAATTGTGGTAAAACACACATAACATAAAAATTGCCATCTTAACTCTTTTTAAGAGTATGGTTCAGTGGTGTTAGGTATATTTACATTATTGTGCAACCAATTTCCAGAACTTTTTTGACTTGTAAAACTGAAACTCCATACCCATGAAAGAGCAACTCCCCACCCTTCATCCCCAGCCCTTGGGCAACCAAGGCTGTCATTCTACTGTTTCTATGCTTTTGACATCCATAGATTCCTCCTGTAAGTGGAATCATATAATATTTGTCCTTTCGTGACTGGCTTATTTCACTAAGCACAACGTCCTCAAGGTTCATCTATGTTGTTGCAAGTGTCAGGATTTCCTTGCTTTTATGCTGAATAATATTTCATTGTGCCAGGCATGGTTTCACATGCCTATAATCCCAGTGGCTCAGGAGGCTGAGGCAGGAGGATCATGAGTTTCAAAGCCAGCCTCAGGAAAAAAAAAAAAAAAGCAAGGCGCTACTCGGTGAGACCCTGTCTCTAAATAAAATACAAAATAGGGCTGGGGATGTGGCTCAGTAGYCAAATGCCCCTGAATTTAATTCTCAGTACCCAGGCCATTCATCTGCTGGTGGACATTAAGATAGCTACCTTTGGGTATTGTGAATAATGCTATGAACATAATTGCACAAATATTTTTAGAGACCCTGTTTCTAAATTCTTTTGGGCACATACCCAGAAGTGGAATTGGGGAATCATATGGTAATTCTGTGTTTACTTTTGAGGAGTGGCCATACTGTTTTCCAGAGTAGTTGCTCAATTTTACATTCTTACCAACAGTGCCCCAGGGTTCTACTTTCTCCACACTCTCACCAAGGCTTCCTTTCCTTTTTATTAACAGTAGCATAAAGAGGATTCTTTATTATTTTATTTGCATTTCCATAATAATTAAGAGATGTTGAGTGTCTTCTTATACCCTTGCTGGCCATTTGCGTATCTTTTTCTAGAGGTGTGTCTATTCAAGTCCTTTGCTCATTTGTTAATAGGGTTATTTGGGTTTTTGCTTTGTTTTGCTTAAATCTTTTATTTGCACTCAGTGAATCAAATGCTTGGCCTTTCTTAAAATTGGAAAGGCAGCATTTTATAATCCTCAGATATCCATTTCTATCAGTTACCCACAAATATTGGAGAAGTATTGATACATATAAAGTCTATCATGAAGATATTATTACTTCTGACATTAATTCTTTCATTTTGGTTCAACATTAATGAAGCACCTACTATACAGCAGGCATTGTGTCACAAAATATCTTAACCCCTTTGACCCAACCCATAATGGTGTTCTCTGGGCCACTAGTTTTTGGATTGATTGATAGGTTTGAATGAAGCACTGAGAGCTACAAATCTCTTCTGATCTTTCTTGTGGGATCTTCCCTCTTAGAATGGGAAAGTGTGCATCTCTAAGGAAGCCTGAACTTTGGGCTGGGCATCTCAATTTTCCCAGGCCACAACCAAGTGACAAACACATTCTATCTGGGAATTTAATTTTCTTTAAAATTCTTGGTAAGGTTTTGGAGAAACTCCCCATGCAAAACTCATTTTTGCTTCTAGACAGAAATTTGTAGTTCATTCAGAAAAAAAAAACATCTAGTTGCAACTTGCTTAACCCATTTACAAAAAATCTCAACCTATGTTAAACAATGAACGGTCTTGCAGAATTTCCTACCTTGGTATACATCTTTTCAGACAGTACCGCTTGTCCACATATGCCTTCCATGTATTTCTATGTCCCAAATTGTAGAATAAACTGAAACTCTTAAGAAGCCATTGCATGTGAAACTATTCTTAATTTGCAGTCTGCATTAGGAATCATATATAATCCCAGAGTTAAGGAAACAGCAGGACTCATTTTAAGTTCATGGTCTCACAGAGTATTACTATTGGATGGTTCCAGAAGATTTTCTAGTCAAATCTCACCAGTTTTAGATGAGCCAACTGAGACTCAGAAAGGGGTCATTTCCTTAATGCCAAAATAAGTCAGCTGGTTTCCATACTCAGCATAGGGCTCATTCAATACCTCACTTCTTTTTCCCCACCAATATTAATTTCCTAAGATGTTTCTTGATGCTATATTTTCTTATTTATTCAATGTGAAATAGGAAATGTGATATGGCTGAAAATCCTTGTAATTTATACTTGAATACCTTAAATAAAAGGCTGTGTATCAATATAATCTTAAGAGTTCAACTCCAGAAAAAGTTTTGCTAGAACAAAGACCAAGAGGCAAGTTCTGGAGAGAATTCTTTCAGGCACCTCTGAAAGGAAAAGGAAAAAGAAAACCACAAAGCTCCTTCTCTATAGGTTTGACTCCAATCTGCAACCTGTCCCCCTACCCATGTGTTGCCTGGCACAATGTTTTGTGTTAAGTGGGATTAAGGTGCTTTGGATTAAGACCTTGACATTTACATAAACATATAAAACGTAAAAAACCCATGTAACATTAAAAAGGTGACTTTCATGTAGAGTTTAAGGTAAAAATTTAAGCAGAAGTGACTGTGAAGAATATAAGCCTAAATAACTCCCAGAAGAATGTAAATCTAGGTATACCCTAGAGTTGTGACACTTATTGTCACTGTACATCTGGAATCATCTGATGACTCAGAGTACAGTCTGTTATTTCAGAAAGGTTATAAAAATCTGTGGGCCTCCCTGGGTGTGGTGGTATATGCCTGTAATCCCAGTGGCTCCCAGTGGCTTGGGAGACTGAGGCTCACAAATTCAGTCAGCCTCAGCAACATAGCAAGACCCTAAGCAACTAAGTGAGACCCGGGTTCTAAATAATGTATAAAAAAGGGTTGGGTTTGTGGCTTAGTGGTTAAGTAAGCTCCTCTGGATTCAACCCCTGGTACAAAACAAACAAACAAAAAAACCCAACAACAACAACAAAAACAATATGGTTCTATGGGCCTCATAGTATATGTAATATGGATAAGGTAAATGCTTGTAAGAATTTTTTCTTCTATATTTCCTGATTTAGGAAGGAGGAGTAGGCGGGGGTATAAAATATGTCCTATAGCTACTAGTGAATCTGTATGTACTTGGGTTTAGTATTGGTAGCCTAGGAAAAGACCAAAAGTTAGCAATTTGATATACTGAATATGGAATCCATTCAAAATCTTGTTCAGGTTCCCAAAGAATCAGTGAAATCAATCTTTTCTGATAGATAAATCAGATTGTCTTGTATGTAGCTGTGTGAATTCATAACTTAWTTAAAAATATACAGGGTCATTTTCTCTTTTTTAAAAAATACTTGGCTTGGGAATAATTAAAATGAAACTCTGAAATCCTATCCTCTGCATGTGCATTTAAGATCCAGGGATGCATTCTAGAATTAAGCATTGCTCTGGTTCCATAAAACACAGTTCATAAACCAACAGACCCTGCTGGGGCATCGTCCATCAAGTTGAACAGTCCTTCCATTTTACTAATAAGTACATTTGTATTAACATATACAAATACATTGACTATCAGTACAATTGGGCCATGGAATTTATAGCCTGAGGATGACAAGAAACTGATAAAACAAAGCCTACCTAGGGAAGGGTGCTCTTTTTTAGCAGCAAAGCAGACGGAGGGCATTGGGTGGCAGCAAAGTGCGGAAGTGGAAGGAAGTTTTGATGCATTAAGTACTGAGGCAAACACACAGTGGTGTCTGCAAACAACCAGAAGCTGCTAGAAGGAAGTAGTGATGGATAATTCTAGAAAATTCTAGAATGGACTGGAGCGTTACACTCAACTGCATAATACCCAATTTCTTCTCAGCTCAAGGCACAAGACTGCTGAGAAGGGAACTGTAGAAAAATTGTCCCAGAGGAGGAAACTGGGGGTGTGATAAGAGATGTGTTAAGGGCCATTAGGGACAGCAAATAAAGGAAGGAAAGTTGAGTGATGATTATTGAGTAATGATATTGGGAGGAAAGTCTTGCAAGAAAAATAAAGGGAGAAGGGTGTAAAGTAAGGGTCAGGAATTGCAGGATAACTATGGGAAGGGGCTGCACTAAAGAAGAGAAGGAAGAGCGCTGGGGCGTGGCTGGGAGAGGGACTGGCTCAATAACGGGCTGCGGGGTGAAAAGACGAAGGGGTGGGGAAGCGCGTTGCTGACAGCTGCTCTCCGATGGCGCCTACAGGGTTAAACCTCAGGGGCGACCAGACTAGGAAGAACTCGGTTTCCAGGGTAACGGCTCCGACAGTTCCGGCAGCGCAGGCTCGTACCATTGCGCGGGCGCGCACGGGGGGAGCCAGAAAGGGAGGAGGGRACGCGCGAAGGAACAGTCGAGCCGAGGGGTCGGTGCCGGACTCTACCAAACGCGCGGCCCGCCTGCTCGCCCTGGGGTCTGAGCCGAGCGGTGCTCCGGCTGCCGGCCGCGCGGCGTCCTTCGTGCCGGGGCCGGCAGCTCCCAACTGCCCGCGGACGGCGGGGGGAGAAGGAACGTGCGCCCGGTGGCCCGGATTGGCCTTCTGGTCCCCCCGCCTGGGCGGCCGAGTGCGGGCGGCCCGGGGCTGGGAGGTTTGAAAAGCGGGCGAGAGACAAAGGCAGCAGGAAGCCTCCCCAGCGCCCGGAGCCCGAGCGCCCGGCCCCSGGCCCCCTTGCCGGCCCGCCGGCCCGCGCAGCAGCGGCGGCGGCCGGAGGCGGCGGCGTCAGGAGGCGGAGGATGCAGCAGGGGGCGTGGGAGCGGCGGCTGCCGAGCCGGCGGAGCAGCGCGGCCGGAGCGCGGCGTGCTTAGAGCCGAGGCGGCGGCGGCCGGGAGTGAGAGGCACCTTCCCCGCCCGGGATGTGAGGACCCGCGGAGCCCGGGGCGGGGGGAGGGAAGGGCTGGGAGGCGAAGCCGGCAGGAAGGAAGGAAGGACGGACGGACCAGGAGGAGGAGCGGCGGCGGCGGCCGGAGCCGGAAGGCGGGGAGGGGCCGTCCGTTGGGCCCGAGGCGGCGGCCGGGGCGGACCGCGCTGGTCGCCTCCGCGGGGCAAGAGCGGCCGGGCCCGCGCCTCCTCCCCCCAGCACCGCGGAGGGGGGAGGAGGAAGATGGAGACCCACATCTCGTGTTTGTTCCCCGAGCTGCTGGCCATGATCTTCGGCTACCTAGACGTGCGGGACAAGGGGCGCGCGGCGCAGGTGTGCACGGCCTGGCGGGACGCCGCCTACCACAAGTCGGTATGGCGAGGGGTGGAGGCCAAGCTGCACCTGCGCCGGGCCAACCCGTCGCTGTTCCCCAGCCTGCAGGCCCGGGGCATCCGCCGTGTGCAGATCCTGAGCCTCCGCCGCAGCCTCAGCTACGTGATCCAGGGCATGGCCAACATCGAAAGCCTCAACCTCAGCGGCTGCTACAACCTCACCGACAACGGACTGGGCCACGCATTTGTGCAGGAAATCGGCTCCTTGCGTGCCCTCAACCTGAGCCTCTGCAAGCAGATCACCGACAGCAGTCTGGGCCGAATAGCCCAGTACCTCAAGGGCCTGGAGGTGCTGGAGCTGGGGGGTTGCAGCAATATTACCAACACCGGCCTTCTGCTCATCGCCTGGGGTCTGCAGCGCCTCAAGAGCCTTAATCTCCGCAGCTGCCGCCACCTCTCGGACGTGGGCATCGGGCACCTGGCCGGCATGACGCGCAGCGCGGCGGAGGGCTGCCTGGGCCTGGAGCAGCTCACGCTGCAGGACTGCCAGAAGCTCACGGATCTTTCTCTAAAGCACATCTCCCGAGGGCTGACAGGCCTGAGGCTCCTCAACCTCAGCTTCTGTGGGGGCATCTCAGACGCAGGCCTTCTGCACCTGTCGCACATGGGCAGCCTACGCAGCCTTAACCTGCGCTCCTGCGACAATATCAGTGACACAGGCATCATGCATCTAGCCATGGGCAGCCTGCGCCTCTCGGGGTTAGATGTGTCCTTCTGTGACAAAGTGGGGGACCAGAGTCTGGCCTACATAGCCCAGGGGCTGGACGGCCTCAAGTCCCTCTCCCTTTGCTCCTGCCACATCAGTGATGATGGCATCAACCGCATGGTGCGGCAGATGCACGGGCTGCGCACGCTCAACATTGGACAGTGTGTGCGCATCACGGACAAGGGCCTGGAGCTGATTGCTGAGCACCTGAGCCAGCTCACTGGCATAGACCTGTACGGCTGTACCCGGATCACCAAGCGCGGCCTGGAGCGCATCACGCAGCTGCCCTGCCTCAAGGTACTCAACCTGGGACTCTGGCAAATGACGGACAGTGAGAAGGTCAGGTGAGGGCGGCAGCACCAGCTCCCCTTGTCCTGCCCTGTACACCCTCCCTTCCCACCACCGGCCCCCACACACCCACTCGCATATTTAGACATAGTTCATGGCGATGGCTGAGACAGGGCAGCGACATGAAGCCCAAGCTCAGTTCTCCTCCTCCGACGCCCCTCCCTGCTACCAGCCCCTTTCCATTGCCTTCGGGGTTCCTCTTCTACCACTGCCCTATTTTCCTCTCCTTTTCCCTGCGGATGGAGAAATGGATTCTGCTACTCACTCACCTACTTCTCTCTGCAGGGGATGGAGGACTGTTTTCAGCTACTGTATCCCCACTGCTTGGCATTTGTAAATGGGGTGGGGGTGGGGAGTGACTAGTCCTCTCCACCCCGAGGAATTGAGGAAAATGTCTGCCTTCACTTAAGCTTTCGTTTGAATACTGTGATCTGGTTATTATTTTGAAATGTATAAAAAGCAAACCCAACTACAACGGCCTTTCACCCTTCTTCCACTTTGTAACTAATCCCAGTCTCTTCTCATCACTTCTCCTTTTACAGTACTCGGCTATTAACACTCATTTTTATCTGCTTTCCTTATTTTAGTTTTTTGAAGAAATTGGAAATCATGGTCTTTTTTTTTCTGCTGAATATATTCTATATATTATATATATATAAATTATATATATATTATATATATATATGTCTGGCTACCTCGTTTTAGTTTACTTTTTTCTCTGAAGCCCTGGAATTCTACAAGAGAGATATTTTGAGACTGAAACATTTTTGTGCCTAGACTGGAAAGATGCCCATTGGGTTTGTACATCTTTTTGTTTTGGCTTCTTCCCAACCTCCATCCACCCAGTGTGTCCTACTTCTACATTCTGGCTATAATTTTCTTTTTCTCCTTGTCCATTGGGATTTGAGGACCCAACTGTGTTCTTAAATCTTGACTTAATTTATAGCACAAATGTGTGGGAGAAATGAGAGTTGAACTGCTTTTTTGTTTGTTTGAGATGCAGATTGTATCTTGAAAATGATTATTATATATGCAAATTACGCCCTACCCTCACCCTCTTCCAAGTTTCTCCACAAAAAGGTCACACAGTGAGGCTTCCTGTTGGAAGTACAGAGCAGAGTTGGCCTACAGAGACCCTGGGGGCCCCCCCCCCCCCCCCCCCCCCCCCCGGCAATGTGAAGGGGAGGAGACTGAAATTCATGTCTTATCTGTGTTCTGTTAATAAAATGGGAGTTTGTGGGTTTTAAAAAGATCCGTTTCTAAATGGAGGAATAGATGACTTTATTTTGGTGGGGGTTGGGACTTGTGGCTTTAAAAAAAATCGCTTTTGAGTAGGATGTATATTTTTGTTGGATTTTKTTTGTTTGTTTATTTTTTTAGAATCCTCCACAGCAACATGCGAGAACATGGAGTTAAAGAAACCCAGAGACCTTTATCAATTAATTGTACTGTTTGTGAATTTGTATAAATAATAACAAAGATCCTCTTAAAACGTTTATATTCTTACATTAAAAGGTTAAACTGATATTTATATAATAAAGAGGAAATATGAAGTATGTTTTTGAAAAAAAAAGCACAAAAAAAAACTTGTATCTGTGAATTATTTTTAAGGCATTGTGTGTTTGGGTACATGCCAAAGTAGGAGGTGTTCTTTGTACACTAAGATAGAAGGAAATAAGGTATAGATTTGGTGCATTCTATGTGAGTGAGCAAGCTCATGGTTAAAAATTTATTCTGTGTAAGGTTTACTAATGACACCCAAATAATGTTCCATTTCTAGAAATGTGATAGAGTGGAGAATTCTATAGTTTTTGGTTTTAAACTGTCAACATGGAAATTTAAAGAAACTGAACAAAATGAAACTTTAAAAAAAAATTCGACTTGTAAAAGTCACAGTTTCCTCAAACGACCAGTTTTTCTTTGAGTGGAAATTAGATCTAGGGGTAATACTGAAAAAATGGGTCATGAGATATGGGGGTGGCCAAGAAGAAAGAAGGGTGTCTACTCTTAGAGCGGCTGTGGGGAGGATGTGAAGGGTGGAGGGAGCTGAAGCCATTGTTCAGAAAAGTTAAAAGAGCGCTGCTGTCCTTGCCTGCTCCTCGCTCAGTCATGCATACTGAATCTCCCAGAGGGAGTGAGGGTCCCAGTGGAAAGGAGGAGGGCAGTTCTACCCCTCTTTTTAACATTCCCCTCCAGGCCTGGCTGCATTGAAGCACTTTCCTGGGGGCTGGGGAGGTTGGCCAGGAGTTCTTGTACATTTGCATTTTAAGCACTTCCAACACTCGAGCCACTCAGTTGAGGGTTCTTAGACTGAATTCATGCAGATAAATGAATACCAACAATTCTAGCAAAGAGTTCCCTTTGGTAGACAATAACCAAATAATCTGACACCCAGTGATTGAGCTGTGGAAACTGGTGAGTATAAATGCTCTTAGTTGTGGAGTAATTCATATTCCTGGTTTCACATAGGTTTGTCTAAGTTGTTTCTGAGATTACTTTTTTCCTTTTTTTAAACACCAAAAAAAGCACTGATCCCAGCGAGAGCTGATAAGAACAGTATCAAACTTTCCTGGATCAGCATCTCTTTCCAGGAAGAGGGCTAGAACCCAGGTTTCTCTTGGGTTAAGATTGTTTTGTAAAATTTCCAAGCTTTAAGACTTGAACATATCACAAAAGCTGCATTGTTCCTTTTTGGAGAGCCATCACAATTGGGTCTAATTGAGCCTGACACTAGATCCATCTTCCTTTTCTATGGGGAAGGTGTGGATCTTTTTCTTTCCACTTAGGTTACAGTGCTTATTGCCTAAAGCGGGGGTGGTGGTGGTGGGTATGTGTGAACCCCAGTAAGAACCAGGGACTTTGAATTAGGGCCAGCTTTTTTAATTTAGCATTTGACACAATTCCTGAAGGTTACACAAGCCATAGGTTCCTAGCCTATTTTTCTTCCAAGAGACTGCGTGGCTGTACAGATTCATTCAGTCAATAAAAATTTGAGCACCTCGTAAGTCTGCCTCTATTCACATTCTTCATTTTAACATGCAAAGTAATCCTACCACCACCTGAAACATTTTCTGTTTTGATTTTTTTTAATGTTAAAAGTTATATATAAGCTGGACTTAAGGTTGATAAATTAATGTTGAAAGTTAAGATCATGGGTATCATGTCCTTATCCTGAACTAGGCATACTTAATGTATCTGGACCTCAGGAAAAGATTAATAAACCATTTACTGTCAGCAGTGAATGTTAATTGCTTATCTCTCAACCTTTTTGGATGGAAAGAAATTATTATGTGTTGAACCTATGTGGGCAAAATTCTTTTTCTTCTTTTTTTAAAAAATTATTTTGGTACTGGGGACTGAACTCAGGACACTTTATCACCAAGTACATCCCAGCCCCCCCTCCCTTTTTGAGACAGAGCCTTGTTTAGTTGCTGAGGCTGGCTTAGAACTTGCAATCCTGCCTCAGCCTCCCAAGTCACTGGGATTACAAGTGTGTGCCAGGATGCCCAGCGATACTTGTAAATTTTAATCCTCAAAGCACCCTTCTAAAATAGGTCTCCCTGTTTTCCAGATAAGGCATAATACCTGTCTTGTGCTATTCAACCAGAAAGTGAGGGATTCCACAGGTCTACTTCTAAAGGTCATCTCTCTTCTGCTCTGAAAAGGTTCAGTTACTGATCAGATGTTGATTTCCAGTGAGGTAACCCCTGAGAAGGTAGGGGGAACTGGGTAAACACAGCGTGAACAAGCTTATGCCACAGGTACTACTTCAAAGGGTCAGGGTAAATGTGGGGTGTATGAGGGCTTAATCCCCACCACACCTATAGGACAGAGATGCATTTAGGAACACCAAAGGATGTGAATTGCTATACATAGTGGTATGAAAGTTAAAAGGCATTTCCATTAAATTTTTAGGTAGTAAAACATGATTCAGGTATTTGCTGAAACTTAAGAACTGGAAAAAATATGTAAACTTAATGTGAACCTTATCGTTTAGCAGTAATAAACTTCAATAGGAACTGGATAGTAGTCAAGAAAAGGCTTCATGTATTTTCTAATTCTCACTGGGACAGACAACTTTGCAGTCCTCAAAGGGCCATAATGGACCTCTAGCTAAGAATGCTGGGTGTTGCTGCATAATTCTCCCAGCCAGGGACACTTTCCTGCTGAATTCCTTAGTCCTAACTGGCAGGGGAGGAGGGGGAAGCCCATTTGATTTATTCTACATTTGGCAAAAGGGTGTTTGCCTAACTTACATTTATTGAAATTCAAAGCCAGTATCAGGACATCCTTAAATGGTGGAAGAAAACTCAAACTGATCATTTCTTTTCATGGTTCAAATTAATAATAAAGATCTGCAAAAGCAAATGTTCCTTTTATTGGAGTCTCTCTTTAAAGGTAAGAACTTAAAAAAGGACATACAGGATGTGGACTGAAGTATGGCCTGTCCCCCCAGACTGGTGCTTTCCTGAGTGGTTACTGCTTACATGCTGGCCTTGGCAGATAAGTTAAACCTTTCAGTTTTCTACTTAAGAGAATTTGAACTTAGGTTTTCAAAGGGGAAAGGGGTTGTGGCCCCAGGGGACCACTATGTTTCCAAAGAATAAGATCCTCTTGATTAAAAGATCAGATTTGTAAAACAAAACCTAGACCTCATGCAGCTTCTGACAACTGTCTCTTCCCAGTCCTATGAAAAGGGAAGCCCCTGGCCTCTGATCTTTGCTCTGTTCTGCTGGAGAAAGGGAGGGACTAGAGTAAGTCATCTACTGGTCCCTTCTCCCTGTTCTCTTTCTCTTTCCTGCACCAAACATCACCCCTTTTAAAAGTTAATTCTATCCCTTTAGTAGAGGGCAAGACCTAAATTTTGTGCCATTATGAACCCCCGAGGAGCCACCCCCGAGGGGTGAGGCTTTTTGATGAAATAATGTGAATCATGAGGAAAACATAGGATTATAAATTAGAAAACTGCATTTAAACCTAAGCTAATGCTTGGACCATAAAGTTACCTCATTTTTGTCAATGCTCTTATTGCAACATTAAGTAGCAAATTAAAAAGCAAATGTGGTAAAGTGGATGAAACATTGGTATTGAGAGCAGTATCAACTATTCATGATTCATAACTGATCAAAGGTATCTATGTGCACAACTTGGTGGAGAGCAATTGTTTTCAGTTCTTAGAAATGGTGTTTCTAGACAATTAGTAAATATTTTTAAATGTCCACTRATGATCAGTGTTAGTCTTTTCCTCTCTTCCAGGGATTGCTCTGAATTGCCTTTACCAACGCAGAATGCTTGGTACTATGCAAAGCCAAGTCTTCCAGTTGAGGCACAAGATAAAGTGAGCTTCCCATCTTAACTGCAGCAGCCCTGGAGCAGGATGTGTTCAACCCCCTTCCCCAGTAAAGTGACAGAGATGTGTATCCTCTGCTGTTTGTTAGCCTACAAAAGGGTTCTTATTTTCCTAAAAAGGACTTAAGTTTTTATTAACTCATTACTCTTCTATTTTAATTGTTTAAGGGTCAAATGCTACATGTCCTTATAAAAAACTGTGGTAGAGAGTGGCTCAGTGGTAGAGCATTTTCCTAGCATGCTCCAGGGCCTGGGTTTGATCCCCAGCAATGCAAAAACAAACAAGCATTCTTATATTTGTTATAGTGGAAATAATAGTCTCAGTTACAAAGAAAGGAACTGGGTAAAACAAAACCAAGATGTCATGCAGCTTCTGACAACTGTCTCTTCCCAGTCCTGTGAAAAGGGAAAGAAACCAGCAGCAGGAAAGAAACCCAGGTGAGACAGTGTTAGGAAGGTGAATGTGATCTACTGGAGGAATTTAGTTGTAACAGCATGTTCAATTTCTGTCTTGAAAATTTTCTTGTATCAGATCTGGCAGATATGGTACATTTAACTTTACAAGTGGGGAAAGAAGCTTGACACAGTCAAAAAGATTTTGCATAGATGACACAAGGATTTAGTCTTGAAGCCAAGGCTGCTCCAGACTTTACTGAGCATCAGAAGGCAGTTGACTTACAGGTAGCTCTTTGGAAAACACCACCCTCTGTTCAGAAACATCCAGCACTAGAATCAGGAGTAGAAAAACAAAAAATACCCCCAAATGCCAAAAGTCATTGCTGTTTAATATGCATT